TCTCTGATGTTTCTTGTGGTACGGGGAGTCTGACCACCAGTACGACTTGCTGGTGCCACCTGGCATCACTGAACCGTAAGCATTTCTCAAGAGCTGGCAGGTGTAAGGGGAGAGCCATGAATCTCTGGCGTGTGTGGAAGGAAGCACGCAGATTTATACCTTCTCTTCAGCTCTAGGACAAGATAAGATGTTTTTCTTTTTTGGGACAAGGAGGTTTATAGGTGAGTATTTCTCCTGCATTGCACTGCTCGCTCACCTTCTCTCTCTCCTCGTAGACAAACACCACGGGTTTTCTGGCAGAGACTCCCATGGGAAGGGTGTAGGAGGTCTGAGCACCCGGCATCTTTCCCATGTCTTCAGAAGCAGAAGGGTGGCCACACACTGGCAAACAGCTTTGCTGGTCCAAGGACCTCTCTGTTCAGTCAGAGGAGTCCAGGCAGCACAGGGACACTGAAACGCCAAAGAGTTTGCAACACCTCTCCTGCACAAACCCGGCCCCAACGCCTGGGATTCCTGCTCTGCGAGGTCTCTGACCGTATCTATCCATCACTGATCTGTGACGCACACCATCCCCTCGTCCCCTGGTGCCACCCACACCATGCCTCCAGGCACTGGTGCCACTCCAAAGGCACCCAGGGCACACAGACCAGGGACACACCGGGTGCTCACCCAAGGGCAAGACCACCAGCCACGCACTCAGATGCCACCATTACCAGCCCAGGGACCCCCTCCTCTTTTTGGAAGGATGGACAGGAGAGGGACTCCTAGACACACAAGGCTCCAGGTAAGATCAAGCGCTCCCTACCTTCTCCAGGGCCATCCCCCACCGGGGAACCCAACCTGCCATTGCTTTATGGCAGCACTACAGCCCACGCAGAGGCCGGGCAGTGCTCCTGTTCCCAAGCAGGGTGACAACTGGAGATGCTCACCCAGGCTGAAGTGCTGCCTGCGCTTGGCACTGAGCTGCCTCTTCTTCTGGGCAGGTACTGGCATAAGGAGGTCCCTGCTCCTCTGCCAGAAAAAGCCTGCAACATCTGGGTCTTAATTCAAATGTTTGGGGCAAATTACTGTTGCTCCTGCAGTAAAACCAAGGTTTTCTGTCCCTGTGCAGAGGTGGGAGGTTGACTTGCCCATGGGAACCTGCTCTCCATGGGGAGTTTAAATGCCCTGGCACTACACCAGAGGTGAGAGCATAGGAAAACCTCACCATACATTGATAAAAGAAGTACTGCTGTTATCACCAGATTATATTCTGGGAGCAGAGGACCAAGACACTCATCCAGCAGATGCGTGTCAGAGCCAGGAACCGAATCCTTACCTCTGTAGCTGCGGTTCAACAGGCTCCGCTATCGCCACCCTCCAAACCTTGTGCTTTGCTCTTTTCTTGCTCGCAGACCTTACGCTCCAATTCAGATCAGCGTGCCTGCACCGCACCCTCTCAGCGCTGCACAAGTGTATTTAAGAGCAGACGTGCCTCTGTGCGTACTCCCTTCCGAGCAGGCGGAGAATACAGGGTTAAGCTACGCTGTACTTGATTTTGGCAAGGGAAACCAGCATGGCATCAGATCGTGCTGAAGTGGAACCACTTACAGAGGGGAAAGGAAGGAGTCGAGCCCCCATCCCAGAAGCTGCTGGTCTGCAGCTTTGAAAGACAGCTGTTTTTTTCCTGTCCTTTCAGAGTTTCCAGGCCCCATCTCCACTGCAAAGGCGTTGTGCAACCCGGGCATTTTGCAACCGCCGCCCGATGCGGACGCGGAGCTGGCGCTTTGGGCTTCACCCCGTCCCACCGCGCCTGGAGCAGCTCTGGCCTCCTGCCCACCTGCGATTGCAAGCCCATGCTGAGGCTACCTTTACTCCTGGCACGCTAAAGCTTGGTCTAAAGTTGCAGGTCAAGCTCTGTGGGACGGGCTGAGAAAGTAGAGAGGCCATTACTGGCACGAACTTCCATTGCTTCAGGTGAGATCGCTCCAGACCCAAACCCATCAGTTATGATGCTGGTCCCGCTCCTGGATCACCATTACTGTGGTAAATCCAGAGTGATGCCTTCAGAGTACTCCAGACTTGCCCTGCAGAGGCTGGAGAACACCAGCAACATCTCCTCAAACCTTGGCTAACACCAGCCAGCATCATTAAGAGAGAGCTGGAGATGCACCAAGCCTGAACCACGTCTCAAAGCCTGGGTACAGGTCGAGTCAAAGCCAAGGACGGCACAATGCAAATTGTCACGCGAGCTTCAAACCTGACACCATAATAGAGTTACACCTAATTATGCTACAAAACCAGACAAAAGTACCTCAGGCAAGATCACCACCGGGTTACTCCTCTGGGAAAGACGTTGCCCCATTTTGGCATCAGGAACAGGCAGTGCCTTTGTGGGGATGGGTCGGGGAAGGCCGGGCCCTGCAGGGTGTTGCTGGATAAAGCTCCTGCCCAGATAAACACCTCCAAGTAAGAGGGAGAATTTAAAAATAACAAAACTAAAACCTAAACAAACAGTAACGGTTTGAGGGCTTTGCTTTGGAATAAGAGATTAATGGACGTATTGATTGACTCAAGGGGCTGGGACAAAGGCTGACAGCCGTGTTTATTTTTTAGCATCTGTCTGTGGACTTACTGGGCTTGTGTCCGAGCAAATATTGCATTAAGGAAGCTTATGAACTAACACATCAAGCGTGGTCGGGTCATCTCCAGCTCAGCCTGCAGGTTGTCTGAACATGCTGCCGCCAAAATACGTTAGCAGGAGACACAACGGCTTAACGTTCAGGACTAGACTGAGCTGAAGACGTGTTCAGATGCCTCTGCAAAGCTACTCAGCCTTAGAAATACATGCTGACCCCACTGCAATGCTCGGGGAAAAAGTTCCCTGCATATGGGACTCTATAAACCTCGCAGCTCAGAGCAAGACGATGGGAGCAAGCTGACCCCGTGCCACGAAAAGCACTGCGGGAAGCTGGGAAGGACCGGACCGGGCAAGGGCTGCTGTGCCGGGACTTACGGCAGGGGATAGTGCAGCAGAGCGAGCAGCAGAGATGGAGAAGGGATGTGGTCTTCCAGCAAAAGAGCAGGATAAAGTGTAGGGCTGCTGGCAGACCCACAGCTGCTCCTGTCCCAGTTCTGCACTGCTGCGCACACCTAATTCTGGAGAATTTAGGAGAAATCTCAGTGCGGCAGCTCGGGCACTGCTGAGTAATTTGGTTGTTGCCTCGATTTTGGCATCTTGTGCTAATACTCGGGGACCTTGTTGGGTAAGAGATGGGTCACTACTACTGCTAAAAGGTAAGTGCGTGCAAAAAGGCTCAAAGAAGCACAAAAGGGTTTTTGAAAAGCATCCTTCAAGACCTAGTGCTTCTTGTGGAGCTTCAGCCACCATCAATGATTAACCTGCTGCACCCATCAGACCTCCCTGCTTCCAGCTCTCGATGCAAAGCCTCTGGACTTCCAGGCATGCAAACACCACAAGGAAGAACCCCCCAAAAAATAACACCTGGAGAGGTTTTACACACCAACTGCAAATACATTTGTGACTCTTCTCACTCTGCCTCCTTGCTAAGCCTTTCCCATGCAGCTTGGTCACCCCAAACAGCGCAGGGACCCACGGCAGCAGGAGCCAGGGCTTCGAAGACGGGGGATGGGATGGGAATGATGTTCAGAGTCAGCGGAGAAGCTGAGACCCTTCTGCTAAATCCCCAGGCAGCAGAGCAGGCAGCACTGCCTGCAAGGATGGATAACGGAGAGACAGGGACCACAGTGCTACAGCAATAAATCCAGAGCTGCGTTTCATATCATTCTCGATTTGAAACACCACCTAAAAAAAGCGCTTATTACAGGAGAAGGAAAAACCCAGAAGCCGTAAATGACCATTTTAAAGCTCTCAGCTATTTAATTGTGGCTTTCCGCACACTGATAGAGAAGGCAGTGCCCTCGCCGCAAGAAGCCTCTCCTCCCCGAAGCGCTCTCTGCTTCCCTTGTGTCTAGGGAAACACCAAGCATCTTTGAGAGAGACCTGCCGAACGTCCCAACATCAAGGAGGACGTCCAGCCTTGCAGGTGAGATGGTGGCAGTCACCCAAGGTGACAGCAAGGCTGGTGTGACAGCCCTCCACAGAGGGAGTGGGTGGGCAAAAGAGCTCCTGAACCCCACTGAGAAGATGCTTTGCTCCTCCTCTCCCAAAGATGGCTCGCAGGCATCAACAGCTGCTTTAAAAAGTAGTTATAGCTGCATTACATCTCCACACAAAACCAGTGAAAAATCTCCAGCCATGGTGCTCTGCAGCATCTGTACGAGTGTCCAAGCCTTGGGTTGGGCTCTGCACCATCCACCGATCCCATCGCAGCCTGGCAGAGCCTCCACAGGGGAAGGGCTACCCAACTCTCCCGGAAAACACTGAGGACTGCGCATCTAAACCCCTTGATCACCGCCAGCTTCACACCTCTATGTGCTGCAGATACAAAGGAATGTTTTCAGATATGCTCTGAAGATCGTGGATCCCAGCCCTGCTTCCAAAAACAATGCCTGCGCTTCGGGGCTCCAATCCCATTTCCTCCCAGTAAGTCCCCAGATCACTTCTTTTGGACTTGCCTCAAGTCCCTCAGCTCACTTTTGGACGTGAAGCATCAGCTCACAGCTTGCTTTAGGAACTTTTGAAATGTGAACTGCAAACCTAGATGGAGCTACATGAAAGAAAAGGGGCTGCCTTCGATTGTTGCTCACACACATTTTTTGCTCTTACAGCTTCTTGGCTGTTCTTCCCTCCTCTCTAGCTGCCAGGTCTTTAAAATCCCACAGGAATAGAGAGGCAAAAAAAAAAGGCAGGCAGGAAATCAAAAAGCAGGTAGGGGAAAGAAAGAGGGAAAAAAAAAAAAAAGGAGTTTTCTATGGCCCAGATGAACCTAGCCCCTCTGCTAAGCAGGGCAAAGCAGTTTTCCTAGCGGGATGGGGGGGACCGTGCCGTGAAGAGTGGCCGTGGGCGGCCATCCCCAGCGCTTCCCGTGGGTACTTACTGGTGCTTGTGCTAGTGCCGATGGTGTTGATGGTTGTGGGGACGGAGGAGGAGGAGTAGAGGGGCAGATGGCCATTCTCGCACGCCAGGTTTTTGTCCTGCCAGCTGGAAGCGCTGACACTTATGCCCGAGTCTCGAGAGTTTTGCCATCCGTTGAGTTTGTCGTCGGAGTTTTGTCTTTGGTGATAGTAGTGCGTCTGCCCGTAGTCCACCGAATCTGACCGACCTCTGCTCTGGCTGCCGAAGCCACCCGACGTACGGTCCTCCAGGTGGTTGAGCCACATGGCCAGGGCGCTCCTGTCCTCTAAGGAGGTGGCAGGATGTATCAAGGCGTAGGACAGCAGCTGCCTGCTCTCCTCGATGTGTTGGTTGTGTTCGATCGAGTGGGCCAGGATTTTAGGCAAGAGTTTCATGTATTCGACTTTTGCCTCGATGTTTCCGGGCTTCAGTAAAGGCAGGTGGGTTAACAATAGGGAAATCACTTTATCCTTGGATTCCTGTTGCCATTGGTTAATGATTCCTGTTGAAGGAATAAATAAAAAAAAAAAGAAGAGAATTGAGAAATCAGCAAACAGAGCTAATAAAGAAATAAATAGGCTCTCGCAGGGTAAATATGACACGCCAGAGGAATGCCTGCATGTGTGATGCCACTGCGTGAGCATCCCCAGGCAGGAGGTCACTGCTCTCCGAAAACCCAGGTCATGGCAAGGCACGATGAACTGGACACGGAGAGTTACCAGACACTCCTGAAAATCACTCAAAAAGCCGAACTGCAGCCACCCTACAGCCACGTAGCTCCACTGCTGTTGTCCTAATGTTAATCAAAGTCACAATTTGGCCCAAATCTTCCGTATCGTTGCAGATGATTACACAAAATACTACGCAAAACCTCTACATGGATAAACCCAACCTTTTAAAAGCACCGGTTGGAAAAACGGAAGAAGGTCAAGATTCAAATGAGCTGTCACCCAAAGGATCCACGAAGGGCAAAGGAAAGAAAACATCCCAGCAGGAGAGCAATAACCAAACCAGGGTGTTGGGCCATCCACCAGCCCGGCGCCATGAACTGCCCCCACGGTATTGAGGGAAGGGCTCAGCTGAAGCAGGCACAGAGCTATTGTTCCTCTGTTAGCTCACGGCAGGCAGGAGAGGTTTTAGAAGACCGGGGCGGAAAAAAAAAAAAGCAAACACAGGGTTTAGCTTTAAAAATATGCGAAAGAAAAAACCAAGGAATTACAAACTGGTCACTTAACTCAAACTCCTGGAAAACTGATGGAACAAATAATGAAACAACCTATTTGTAAGCACTTAGAAGATAACAAGATGATAAGTGACTGCCGACACCGATTTGTCAAGAACAATTTAATTTCCTTCTGCGACAGAGTAACTGGCCTGTGAATAGCTGGAGAAGCAGTCAGAGCTGTATATCTTGATATTCATTAGGTGCTGCCGCACATGGCTTCCTCAGCAGCACACCAGAGAAACACGCTCAGGCGAAACTACTCTAATGTGGGCACACAAATCATCAGAAAACCAGATGGAGAAAGTCGTTACTGGTGATTCACCGTCAGACTGGGAGGATGCACTGAGCAAGGAGACCTGTCCCGGCCGTGACACTACCCAGTATGTCATCGGTGATATGGGTGATGTGATAAATGAATTCAATGCGCAGGTATTGTGCTAGGAGAAATGAAAACACTCCAGAAAACTGGATTAAAAGTCAAACAATGTTGAGATCTGGAGAAAAGTCAGAAAAAAACCAGCTGCATTAAGTAGGTGCAAACATCTGCGTGCAGGTGGGAACAAATCGCTGTGCGGCACCAGGAGCGGCAGAGCCTGGGGTCAGGAAGCATCACAGGCCGAACGTCAGTCAAAATGCCACATTGCACTAAAAAAATGCACTGGCTGGGCTGTCATCTGTCTGAGAGGTGGAAGACCAACACGGACAAGCTGTTCTGTGTGTCTCCCGGGGTTTGTAGTTAATAGGTTTGAATTGCAGCAAAGGCGAATAAGTCAGACGTGAAGAAACTATGTTCTATAGGTAGGGCTAGTGATGCGCACGGAGAGATTGCCTACGGATGTTGTGAAATTTCCATCACCGGAGGTCTTTCATGCATAGCTTATACAAATACCAGCCAAGTATAGCTCAGGATCCACCTAGACGACCTGACTGATGCTCCCCAGGCCCAGGTCAGTCTCTTCTCCAGCGCTTACCCAACACCTCTGTGAAGCTTTCAAACTTTCAGTCCCTGTAGCAGGTTGTGCCTAAGGGTGCCACAACTGAACTGGCTGGTGAAAAAGTACTTTCTTCTGTCTGCTTTCAACCTGCTGCCCAAAACTTCACCTAGGGAAATACCCTGAGTTTTCATGTCATTAAAAAAAAAACCCAAATTTTACGTTCTCCCTCTCTGTCTGCTGTCTCCTATTCACACTGGAGAGGAAGTTGCTCTCAGTCATTGATTATCCCTACACCCTTCATGTATTTTTGAGCTAGGGTAACCAAACCCCCACCAATGAAATGAAGATCTGGACGTCCATCTGTAGGATCACTCATCAGGTTTGCTTTTGGGAAGACCCACGCTGCCTTCCAGCAGCTAACCCAACCCTTGCACCACCCCACCACCCAGAGGAGAGTTATTATAGTAGGGCCTTTTCCCAGTTAAGGCCAAACCCTGCACATCGGTTCCTCGACACGACTGCGGTGGTGAGCAGCCCTCACCCCTCCAGCTTCGCCTTCCCAGTTTTAAGGCTTGCAACCGTTTTAATAGGAAGCCACTAGATGGCTTGCTGGAAACGCTGACGGCTCTCACTGGAACTTTCCGCAGAGGTATTTACTTCTCCACAGACCCACCCCTCCTCCAGAGCTGCTTCCCAACTCAGCCGCCGGCGTGCCCAAGTCACCTCATGCCGCTGCGTCAAGAGGCACAAGGGACACGGTGTGGCATGCCTCTGGTAGAGGAGGAACTGTTTCATCTGCAGCAGTAGTGAGGTTCAGCACGCTGGGTGCCCTCCCATTCCCGTGGAGATGCTGTGAGGCTGTTTTGGTGCTAAAGAACGGGATTTGGAAAAGCAATGCTCAACCTAAGTGAAGTTGGAAAAAATACATGAGTGTAGCAGAACACAAGGTCCACTCCACAGCAGGTACGTGACAGACACCTTCTGATGCAATGCAAAGCAACTTTTATCTTGGGTCATAATTCACCATCCTGAGCCCTTCCAGCTCACTTACGTGTTTCGCCAAAGCACAGTGGGACTGAAGCCACTCTTCAGGGGATCCAAACGCAACCTCTCCACCCCAAGCCAGGCTCTACCCACTGAGTGTAGGGTATTCTGGACAGGAGCAACCTCAAAACACTTTGGAGCAGCTCTGCTGCTTTCCCCAGAATAATCACACGTAGTTACTGGCTCATAAATCAAGAGGAAAGCCGTAAAGACCCTTTGCTTTTGGCAGCCCTTAGGTGGGACATTGCATCTAAATCATTTTTCTTTGCAGTAGGTGGGTTCCCATCCCTGCTTTCCCCATCTTCCCTTGCCAGTGGGAATTAGGGATAACACCTTCTCCGCGAGAAGAGCCTATACAGCTTTGCCTTTGCCTTCCCCTGAAACACGTGGTCTTGGCAACGGACCCATCTCATTACTATTTCTTATTGCTACTGCTATTTTTTCTATAAGTCCAGAGAGTGCAGAAGTCAACATGAGTCTGGATCATTATTTGTAAAGCCGATGGAGGCAGATCTGTGCTGCAAAGATGGCACCAGCCGAGGCTCGACACAAGTCACTGTTCACCACCACTCCTGCGACCACCTCCGACGCAGGGACCGCCAGCACCAGGATGCCAGACATGGACACAACACGATGCCGTTTAGCACCTACTGTGCCAAAATTGCTTGGCCAGGTTGCTCGATTTTGAAACACTACTGGTTGTGCACAACGCCTCCTGCACATGGGGCACACTTCTCACACCTCTCTCTTGTATGAACTGAAGCCTGAGCTTTTGCCCACCAGAGCATCTCCCTGTTTTCCACATGCAGATGTAGTTCTGCTGCAGGCAAAGCTCTGTGTCACGTTTAATCTGATTTACCTGGCCCCTCTCTCTCCTGCTTCTTGGCCGGCTGCCTGGGAGGTGAAAACCCATCTTATTTTCTCCCCTCCTCCCACAGAGGGATTTCACCCCTTCCCTTATCACCCCCACGTTTTGTCATTGCCATCGGGGCCGTTCGGCAGGTCTTGCGGCTGGCACAGCCAACCCCCAGCCCGGCACCGTCTGTGGGGAGAGGCTGCGGGATTTTGCAGCAGCTCGGATAAACTGAGCAATCAAAAGATCATTAAAAAAATGGAATTTTTACATAGGCATTATATAGCAAACTACATGCAGAAGAAGCAAAGCCCGGTGCAAACTGGGTACAGGAGAGGAGGAGGAGGAGGAGGAGGATGGGGGGAGGCAGGCGGCTGTGGCCAGACTCCTCTTCCTCACACAGGGACGAGGACCGAGTGTGGAGATCACCACTGGAGAAACACAGGACGGCTCTAGAGCTGCTTCTTGGGAAACTTGCCTCAGACCTCCAGGAGATGTGAAGGTTTGAAATCACAGCCCCAAAAAAAACGGAGCATTGATCTGAAAGCCCACGGTGGGCAAGGGGCCAGGGCCTTCCCTGCCCCAGCCCGGGCAGGAGCTGCTCTCCTTCTCAGCCAGCAGCAGGATGTGCACAATTAAACAAAAATGGAAAATAATTAGATCCGAAAGAGGTTTGGTTCTCTCTGAGATGGGGCAGAAGGTCAGGCTTAATCCTATCTGCCAAAAAACAGAGGGATCTGGAGCGGGCGGCACGTGAGGAAAGCTGGAGTGCCTCTGGGCAGGGGAGAGGGGCTGGCGACCCCCTCCGAAGCCTCTCTCCACCCTCTCCCCAAACACAGGAGCCCCCACTTCAGCTCCCTACCTGCTGCCACGCACTCCCGGACATCTGGGATGTCTCACCCTTTATTGCCAGAACACACACACCACCCCCACCCCCCCCCGGTCAGGGTTAGGATGTGTCCTGGTTTTGGGCTCCCACGTCGCAGGGCCCCAGCATGCTACCTGCAGGGGTGTACGGGGTCACAGGCACTAATCACATTACAGCCTCGTTAGTTCCCCCGGGTGCTGCTTCACGGATGCCTGATGCTTCCCATCACCAGGCTTTCGCTGCTCTAAGGGATGGTGAGACTCTCGGTATTTGCAGCAGGCAAATCTGAGCAGAGAGAAAGCCCCAAAGCTAGAAACTCCACCTCGCCGCTTTGAAACTCCCCCAAATCCCTGTCCTGCCTGTTGCTGTCATTGCACCGACATCTCCTTTTGGAGATGAGCTAAAATAACAACCGACCATGAGCGTCCTGAGGAGCCAGCTCCTGTCCCAGCCCTGTGAGCCCTGTACCGGGAAGGGATGGGAGCTGCCAGCGCCCCTGAAGCAGTAAAAAAAAAAAAAATAAAATCCCACTTTTTATTAAAGGACTCTTTCTCGGGTGAGAGGCTGAATGAAGGTG